CGTCTACTCGATGCTAATGTGACCTGCGTTTCCTTGGTGATGACCCTTGAGGTTTTCCACCCTCCCTGGCTCAGAGTTCAGCTGGGTCCACAGCAGCATTTCGATTGCAGAACACTGAAAGTCTGGCTTCAGGGTCCTTCGCTGTGTTCCTGGAGTCCTTCATGTCAGCGACGGAGTTTTCCTACATCGCTTCTTGAGTCAGCACAGACAGGAGGGTTTCTCCTGGCCACGTCCTTGTGGCCGGCAGACCCAGAACCTACCTAATTGTTGCCAAGACTCAGCCTCCGTACCCCACTTACCAAATTGGGACTTGAGGACAGAGTTTTGGGTGAAGAAGAAAAGGCAGACGAAGGGGGTCATCGCGGGCTAATGCCTCCAAGTCTATGAGCCTGCTGGGGATGGAAGGCAGGGGTTTTATAGGAGAAGTTCAAGAGTACGGGGCAGGTGCCAGTTTCCATGGAGATTGTATGCGGGGCGACAAAGTGTTGCCAGGTTGTTCCTGTTTTTGCAGATGCAGTGGTCCGCTTCCTCCGGCTGGGCGTGTTGTTTACCTCTGGCCTCGGGAATCAATGAGCCATATGTCCTAGTATTCTGGTGCCTAGAACAAAAGGTGTTTAGGAAGGGGGTCTGTGGAAAGAGCTCTAGAGAAAAACTTGCACAGTTTAAAGTCAGGTTGGTAAATGCTTCTAGCGTTTCAGGCCGACTGAGGCCTGGGACCTCTTGCTGCAGTGTCTGCACAGGCTGGGACCTGCACCAGGAGCAACAGATACAGAGAAACCATGAGGGACTTGGGCGGCTGGGGCGAGTTGTGCACAACAAGATGTTCAGGACCCCCAGCTGTCATTTCTGAGGATCAAAACGAGGGGCACAGGCAGACCCCCTAATGCCCCCCCAACCTAACCCTGGTCAGTAAACACGAGGAAAACCCTTTGAACAAACACCGTTGCCGACGCTCACCCGTGACATACTCACCCTGGGCTCTGGTTTCCAGCTTGGTGGCAGGGGAGCTGCCGGTGCAATCTTCCGCTGGGCTGGGCTGCCATCTTCACCGCACAGCGTCTACACTGACAGGCGCAGTTCAGAGTTCAGGGCCCACTGCGCTCTGCTGCATTCCTTACTTGAAGAAAGGAGGAGGTGCTCCGGGCAGGCGTTCATTTTGTAAGAGAAAAAACACAGCTTGATGGCTTCCTGTTCAACTGCCACGTGGCACAAAGCAGCCGCCGTTTCAGAGGCGTTCGAACATTTCAAGGCCTCCGTGTGAGCGCGGGTTGACGGTCAGAGCCGCCTCTGACACGGGCTCCGTGGTAGTTGAGCAGCTCAATGTGAGCAAGGCAGTAACGTGAAACGGCATTTTTGTCAAATAGCTCAATCACATGTTGACTCACAACGTTTCCCGAGTGACAGAAATGCTGGGCGTGATTGTTTAAATGAGTTGCTTTCTTTTTTTTAATTACCTAGGTCTTTACGTTCTAATTTGACGGCTTTCCACACATCCTCCCGTAGAGTAACACCTTGTTTAAACATTCCCCGTTTCTCCTGGGGTGAGGGGTCAGGTTTCTTCTTCTGTGAATTAAAGTGACAGCGTCTGTGATTCTTTTCCACCAATGTCAGATGGTGGTTTTATCATCAGAAATCATTTACTATGTCAGTGATACCCGTGCCTGTCATGACACCAAAAACATTCCAGACGTAAAACGTAGCAGTCACTTAGACCCTGGTTTAGTTTAGGCCACATTAGGTTGGAGTGGAGCTTCCGGCCCTCCGTCACCTGTTGCAGATGAGGACAGGAGGCCGATGTGCCCACACGACTTCTCGAAGCCTCCAGTTACCTGTGGATCTGCTGTGGATAATGACACGGTCAACTCCCGCAGCGGCAGGGTGCCCGGGGGGCTTGGTCCTCACGTGTCTCCTGAAGACATGAGAGGAAAGATGTATGAGATGTGGCTTCGCACTGGGGGAAGAGACAAGCAGTTGTCACCACCTGGACTGCGTTTTTGGAAGGAAATACTTCCCGAGGTGAGCGATGCTTAGCGATGTACAGCCCCATGCAGAATAAAGGAGAACCTTCAGGAACGTAAACTTCACTTGCCTCGGATTCAGGACTCACATTCTGGCATGAAAAGCCCGAACACTGAGCGTCTGTTATTTGCAGGCAAAGCAAATGAAGTGCAAGATCGACTCCGGGCCTTTACGGAGCTTCAAGGAGATTGGAGATGAAGAGCCATCATCACGCATCAAATTTAAAAGTGAGGAGAGACTTAAAGGGTATTACTTAAACGATTTAAGTAATTCCTTAGGGGATAATGAGGAATTGGCGGGAGGGTTAGGAGTCGCTGTTCCTCATTGGTGAGAGGACAGGGCTGTGTGTGGCTGCCCGGCACCCTCCTGTCTGGGGACCGCAGATGGCGGTGTCCATCCTCTGCACACACCGAGGGCGTCACCTCCCCCCGCCTCTGAGACGGGCGTCGGGGCACCCTTAGACTGGCTCAGGGCTGCAAATCCCCTGGGTGTGCTGACACAGCGTGTAGTTGTTCAGGCCAAGAAAGGGTTGGAATCGTGTTCACACGCTGACAGCCACTTGTTAGATGTCTGGCTGGCCCCACCTCTGGCCCCCGGCCAGTTTCCAGCTGTGTCCACATTTCCGGGCGTCTCCCTTTAGCCCGTCCACCTAGGGGATGATCACAGTTTTCCAGGAGATGCCCTTTCTGGTCCAGAGAAAGCTTCTAAGCAAGTATTTCCTTGTGGGTAGCCACTCCTTTCCTTGTGGCATTTGCCTTGTAAAAGAAGGCTTGACGAAGGGGTGACACTTCACTGAAAAGATTCATCTCTGAAATAGGAGCTTTAAAGGAGAACTTCTGGGGAGGGATAGTCGAGGACAGAGTTTCCTGGCCCCCCTCCAGCGCCCCATGTCAGAGTGGCTGCTTCCTGGAGCCAACCCCATCCAACAACCCGGAATTAATCTGGAATTAATTGAAATTGAAGAGTTTTGCTGGATCCCTCAGCAGCGGGACTTTCTTTCGTCTCCAGTGACCTTGCACACAGAGTTTTGTCAAGACTTTTTCTTTCCTAATTGCCGTACAGGCAGTGAGCCACGTGACCTCCGCTCGCACTGGCGGGGTCACACGTGAGCTACCGCGTGCCCCCCACACACGTGCTTCCCTGCCAGGTGGGGGTCGGCTGCATTCACTCTTGAGGTTGTCTTTTTTTTAACTAAGTGTCCTAATTCATCATAATAAAACTCATCTTACGACCTGTTGTCCCCACTGCTCAGAAGTGAAGGACAAGGTGGTCATGGCTGCTTTGAAGCCAGTTTTCACCATGTCCCTCTGGGTGGGAAAAGGTGACTTTGCAGAACCCTGGGATCTCCCTCCCTGTTGCGCAGGTCGTGATCATGCTGGCGATCACGACTGCCCCACACCAAGCCGGAGAGGGCTGTGAGTGGTCTGCTTGCTTCTGTTTCCCAGGCTGTTTAGGCCCGTATGAGGGCAGGGACGCACCACACTGTTTTCGGCCGGATCTCAGTCTAGAAAAGTCCCTTTACGAGAGGCTGGACAGAGCGTTGCAGTCTGAGGAAGCAAAGCGTATGCAGAAGCGAGAAAGTGGCGGTCTTCTCTGGTGGGGTCGCCCTCTGTGTCTGGGGAGCCCGCCTCAAGTAGCCGTGTCTGACACGGTGTGCAGTGGTACCGGTCACGCGTTTAGGGAGAAGACAGGTTTTGAAGTTGCCTGGGTACTTTCATGTGAAAAAAAAATGCTACCATTTTACTGCAAATAAAAATAGTTTACTGCAAACAAAAGTGTGTGTGTGGGTGTGTGTGTACTTAGAGTATGTGTGTATATAGACACATTTGAAGTGCGGAACAGGATTTTGATATACATACAGATTATGAAAGGGTTCCCACTATAGCGTTAATTAACACTCATCGTCTCATATGCTGACAGTTTCTTTGGTTTTCTGGGGTTTTTTTGGTGAGAAGACTTGATTTCTACTATCCCAGCAAATTTTAACCACACAG